TCCACTCACCTCAGCCTCCCAAAGGCGCGGGATTACAGCCTGAGCCACCAAGCCCGGCTAGGATTTCTTAAATTAAGACCAGCCTGGGCAATGTGGTGAGACTTCTCTCTACAAAAAAGCCAAAAAATTAGACAGGTATGGTGACATGTACCTGTGGTTCCAGCTACTTAGGAGGCTGAGGCAGAAGGATTGCCTGAACCTAGGTCAAGACTAAAATGAAGCTGTGACCATGCCGCTGCATTCTAGCTTAGGGAACAGAGTAAGACTTCGACTCAAAACAAACTCAAGAGAATTTAGATACTCCTCTACCCTCCAAAAAAAACCCTGTTTTTTGTTACATCAACCCTTAAGAACTAGCTGAGTTTATTTTATTTTATTTATTTATTTTTTGAGTTGGAGTCTCACTCTGTCGCCCAGACTGGAGTGCAGTGGCTGCTCCCGGCCACCACAGCCTTGACCTGCTGGGCTCTGGCGATCCTTCAGCCTCAGCCTTCCATGTAGCTGGAACTACAGGTGCGTGCTACCATACCCGGCTAATTTTTGATTTATTGTGGAGATGAGGTCTCGCCAAGTTGCCTAGGCGGGTCTCGAACCTGCGGGCTCAGGCAATCCACTCACCTCAGCCTCCCAAAGGCGCGGGATTACAGGCTGAGCCACCGAGCCCAGCTAGAACTAGCTGATTTCATACTATTCTAAGATGTTTGAATCTGTTACTTCACTGAGCCACTTTTAGTGTTATCTTGAAATATTAAGAACTTCTATGAATAGACTTTAAAAAGTTATGAAAATATACTTATTTATTAATTGGAAAAGCTTGTGGATTTGCGTATACATTAAACAAAATTTAAAAAGGCCAGGCATTATGGCTCATGGATTTTAATCCTAGCACTTTAGGAGACTGAGGTGAGAGGATTACTTGAGCCCAGGAGTTTGAGACCAACCTAGACAATATAGGAAGACCTCATCTCTACAAACTCCTCTAGTACCAACTACTTGGGAGGCTGAGGCGGAAGAATCACCTGAGCCCAGGAGGTCAAGGCTATGGTGAGCCATGGTCATGCTACCATATTCCAGCCTGGGCGACAGAGTGAGACCCTGACTCAGAAAAAGAGAAAAGATTGTTGACCTTTGCAGTTAGGGCAATGTGTGTGACTCATACCATTTACCCATAAGAATGGTAAGATAGAATATGTGCTAAGTTACTCTTTTTTCTTCCCAGCTGGAGTCGAGATGGTCATAAACTCGTGAGTGCTTCTACTGATAACATAGTGTCACAATGGGATGTTCTTTCAGGCGACTGCGACCAGAGGTTTCGATTCCCTTCGCCCATCTTAAAAGTCCAATATCATCCACGAGATCAGTATGTTGAATCCAAGCTATTCCTTTTCTGGGTTGGGGTCTAATTCCATATGGATTAGTTCTGGGCCCATGAAAACTTTAGTTTATGATTTTAAGAGGCAAACACACATCTCATTAAATCCCTATAAAATAATCTTTCTATCTAGGTTGGCTCCACTGAACACATTTTTTTTTTTTTTTGAGTTGGAGTCTCACTCTATCGCCCAGACTGGAGTGCAGTGGACACTCCCAGCCACCACAGCCTCGACCGGTGATCCTTCCGCCTCAGCCTTCCAAGTAGCTGGAACTACCGGCACGCGCTACCACGCCCGGCTAATTTTTGATTTATTGTAGAGATGAGGTCTCGCCAAGTTGCCCAGGCGGGTCTCGAACTTGCGGGCTCAGGCAGTCCACTCACCTCAGCCTCCCAAAGGCGCAGGATTACAGGCTGAGCCACCGAGCCCAGCTCACTGAACACATTTTAAGGAAAGTGTTATTGTAGTATATAATTAAAAACTGGCCAATATCAAGACTGTGGAAATGGGCAAAGGTGGGAATGAGTATAATAATTGGGCCTTGACTTGGGGGTTTCCCCACCTTGATTATTTGGATTGTTTTAGTAGAGAGAAGCAGTTCAATATTAAAACTATATTTAAAAGAAAGAGTTACCTGCCATTTTGTTACCCAGGTATAACTATTTTCATTTCTCTGAGTTCTCTTTTAGTCATGCTCTCTTTAAAGTATGTTATATAGTACCTCATAGCTCGATGCATATGAAATATATATTCATTTTTATGTAGTTGTAATCAGTGTTTTGCTTTTTTTACTTTATTTCTTGTTTTACTATTTTGTAACATCTTCCTATTTCTTGTTAATGATTACATTTTAATTTTGTCAAGGTAGGGTCCCATGATTTTATTCAGTCTTTTCCCTGTTAGTAGACATGTGGATTTTTTCCTTTTCAAATTTGCTTGGGCTGACAGAGTTGATGATGGTTGTGGACAGGGATCAGGGAGAAGGACAGGGAATCAGCATCCTGACATCAAAGCAATAGCCAATGTACTGTTCATATTTTTAAACAGGAACAAGGTTCTCGTGTGTCCCATGAAATCTGCTCCTGTCATGTTGACCCTTTCAGATTCCAAACATGTTGTTCTGCCGGTAGACGATGATTCCGATTTGAACGTGGTGGCATCTTTTGATAGGCGAGGGGAATATATTTATACAGGAAATGCAAAAGGCAAGGTAAGCCTAGATGTTGGTAAATAAGGATCAGGCATCTTGTGCGTTGGTTCATTACATGTTTACTTATTTTACTTCTTCTGAAATTTGTTTTACATCTAGACTAAGCACAGCTCCTGCCTGTAGCAAATGTATTCTAATTTTCTCTGATGTCTTTTTTTTTTGAGTTGGAGTCTCACTCAGTCGCCCAGACTGGAGTGCAGTGGCCGCTCCTGGCCACTGCAGCCTCAGCTTGCTGGGCTCCAGCGATCCTTCTGCCTCAGCCTTACAAGTAGCTGGAACTACAGGCGCGTGCTACCACGCCCGGCTAATTTTTTTTATTTTTATTGTAGAGATGAGGTCTCACCAAGTTGCCTAGGCGGGTCTCAAACCCGCGGGCTCAGGCAATTCACTCACCTCGGCCACCCAAGATGCGGGATTACAGGCTGAGCCACCGAGCCCGGCCTCTCTGATGTCTTAATAATGATTTCTCTTCTTTGGATTTAGAGTGGTCAGAGATTATTTGACCTAGAAAAGACTGGAAGGGCCTTTATTAGATGCTAGTAATGAAGGGTCATTACTAAATTGTAAAAATTAAAACTCATGTTATCTTTTTTTTTTATAAATGCAACATACAAACTTTATTTAACAAAAGTAATAGGTAAAGTCAAACAGGCACTTATATTAAGAGAAAAACTGACTAGAAGAAAATAGTCTTAAACACCTTGTGGTAACCTACTTGCAGTTGCATTTAACTGAGGTCTGTTGGCTGTGAAGAATACTGCTCATGCACAGGTATGGATGAACAATTTGTACATTTTTCAAGTATTCACTGAATACTACCGTATATACACATATACATTAAATTTGAACAAGATTTGGCGATCCCCAGATATCCTTCATTTTTGTTGCTCTTTTGGAAGAGGTCGTCTAAAGAGAAGAATATGCAGGTCTGGCTCATGAATCATGTAGTGAACCCAGCCCAGACTCTGTTGGATACCCAATCTCCTCCACTCTTCTTCAGATATCAGATGGGTTTTGGGTACTTGTTTGGAAAGTTCTCTGGGTACCATGACATGCCGGTACTCATAGTGCTCTTCGAAGTACTTGTCCGAGTAGTAGATCTGCTTGTGGGCTATCCTCAAAGTCATGTTATCAACTAGAACACTGCTGATAAAAATGTCTTAATAAATGTTTTATAAAATACTGTATAATTCAGGCCAGCTTAACTTATAGTACTGAGACTTTATTATCTTTCTTTTTTCTATTTTATTAAACTTCTGATCCAGCCTTTTGGAATGTGTAGGCCATTTTGCCTGGGATACATTGTAGACGGTACGAGGAGGACCCTCCAAAAAAACCCTCAGAATTTATTTATAAAAAATTTTGTATTTATTCTTACATGTTTAAATTTCAATCACCTTCAAAGTACTCTCAGTTTGATATAGTACATCTATCGAGATGCTTTTTCCACTGCTCAAAACTGTTTTTGAACTTGTAAATTTTGATACTTTTTCTTTTTCTTTTTTTTTTTTGAGTTGGAGTCTCACTCTGTCACCCCGACTGGAGTGCAGTGGCTGCTCCCAGCCACTGAAACCTCAAGCTGCTGGGCTCCGGCGATCCTTCTGCCTCAGCCTTCCAAGTAGCTGGAACTAGAGGCATGCACTACCACGCCCGGCTAATTTTTGATTTATTGTAGAGATGAGGTCTCGCCAAGTTGCCCAGGCGGGTCTCGCGCGCGCAGGCTCAGGCAATCCACTCACCGTGGCCTCCCAAAGTGCTGGGATTACAGGCTGAGCCACCGAGCCTGGCCAATTTTGATACCTTTTAGTGCTTCTGCCTTTTTGTTTCACCTGTTCCACATCAGCAAAATATTTTCCTTTGAGGACTTTTTTTCATCTGGGGAAACAATAAAAAGTCTCTTGGGGAGAGATTGGGTGAATAGGGAGGGTGGGGCACAGGGGTCATACTGTTTTTGGTCAAAAACTGCTGAAGACTCAATGTGAGCAGGTTTTTCATGTAAATTACCCATCATGAAATGGGCAAATGTGTTGAAAGACTCAAAACAACAAAAAAATCATGACTCACGCCTATAATCCCAGCACTTTGGAAGACCAAGGTAAGTGACTGCCTGAGCCCATCGGTTCGAGATCAGCCTGGTCAACTTGGCAGGACTTCATCTCTACAATAAATAAAAAAACTAGCCAGGCATGATGACACATTCCTGTAGTTCCAGCTACTTGGAAGGCTGAGGCAGAATGATCACCTGACCCCAGCAGATCTAGGCTGTGGTGGCCGGGAGCGTGCCACTGCCCTCTAGCCTGGGCAACAGAGTGAGACTCCAACTCAAAAAAAAAAAAAAAAAATCATTGAAACTAAATGCAGCCTCTCACAGTAATGCTAGCTGATACACTAATGCTGCTGAATTCCTAGAACACTTTCCTGTACTACCAGGGCTCTACCCTCCAAAAAAATAATTGTTTTTTTTGAGGTTCCCCCTCATAGTCTGGAATAAGAAGTCAGGTTAGAGGAACTTTAAAGTGCTTTTCCGGTTTATAGTTAGAGTAGTTCAGTTAGGCAGTTTGATTCTTTTTTTTTTTTTTTGCACTTGGATACATGGACACAGTATAATTTCATGGCTATTTTAGAAAGGCAGTTTTAAAATACACGTAACATAAAATTTATCATTTCTACCAGCTAACTTTTTTTTTTTTTTTTTTTTTTGAGTTAGAGTCTCACTCTGTCACCCAGACTGGAGCGCAGTGGCCGCTCCCGGCCACCGCAGCCTCGACCTGCTGGTCTCCGGTGATCCTTCCGCCTCAGCCTTCCAAGTAGCCGGAATTACAGGCATTCTACCAGCTAACTTTTTGATTTATTGTAGAGACTGCCAAGTTGCCTAGGCAGGTCTTGAACCCGTGGGCTCAGGCAATCCACTCACCTCAGCCTCCCAAAGCACGGGATTACAGGCTGAGCCACCAAGCCCGGCCCATTTCTACCATTTTTAACTGTACAGTTGAGTAGTATCAAAGTATATTCACATTGCTGTACAGCTGTCACCCAGCACCATCCATCTTTATAACTCTTTTCATGTAAAACTGAAATTCTGTACCCAATAAACTATAATTTCCCATTTCCTGCTCTCCCCATCCCCTAGCAATCACATTCTACCCTCTGTATGAATTTGGCCTATTCTAGGTACCTCTTATAAGTGGAATCATACATATTTGCCCTTTTGTGACTATCTGATTTCACTTAATATAATGTCCTCACATTTCATTTGTGTTGTAGCATGTGTCAGAATTTTCCTCCTTTTTCAAGGCTCAGTAATATTCTGTTACTTGTTTATATGTACATCTGTCAGTGGATACTTCAGATGTTTCTACTTTTTGACTATTGTGAAAATGCTAAACATCATATCTTAAGAATAAATTGTTAAGACCTCATCCTTTATTTGAAGAAGCAAAGCAGCAATACCAGTTAATCTGGTTACATAAGTGGAAAGAGACATTGCATTTTTACTCAGACTCTACCCAACTTTAGAAACAGAATCCAGATCTAATTAGTTATCAGAGCACTTACTTTATACTTTTTCCCTCCTTTAAACTTTAGATTTTGGTCTTAAAAACAGATTCTCAGGATCTTGTTGCTTCCTTCAGAGTAACAACTGGAACTAGCAATACCACAGCCATTAAGTCAATTGAGTTTGCCCGGAAGGGGAGGTGAGTGAGATCTTGTCTTTTTAGAAACAGCTTTAAAAGTGGGTAGAATGCAAAAATATATCAAGTTAGCAGGTTTTGTGTATATAAAGCTTTTTTAAAAGGTTTTCTTAAAGTTGTTAGAAACTTTCAATATTTGGTTTTTGAGTTCAAAGATTTCTTTTTTAAAAAAATTAATTAATTAATTAATTAATTAATTTTGAGTTGGAGTCTCACTCTCTCACCCAGTCTGGAGTGCAGCGGCACGCTCTCGGCCACTGCAGCCTCGCCTGCTGGGCTCCGGCGATCCTTCCGCCTCAGCCTTCCAAGTAGCTGGAACTACAGGCGCGCACTACTATGCCCAGCTAATTTTTTGATTTATTGTAGAGAGGAGATCTCACTGAGTTGTCCAGGTGGGTCTCAAACCCGTGGGCTCAGGCAGTCCACTCACCTCAGCCTCCCAAGGCGTGGGATTACAGGCTGAGTCACCGAGCCCGGCCAAAAATTTCTTATAGCGGTTACATTTTCCTTATCTGGAGGGTATCAGACAATTTCTTTGCAAAAAAACTAAGTGAATGGTCAGTGCTTAGAACCAAAGTGCCTGGCACATAGTAAACACTGGGTAAATACTATATTATTCTAATTAGAACTGGTGTTGTAAACGCTACATAGTAACTGAACATGCATTTATAAAAAATCTATTTACCTTTTTAATTTCAGATGTTTTTCTTTTTTTTTGAGTTGGAGTCTCACTCTGTCACCCAGACTGGAGTGCAGTGGCCGCTCCCAGCCACCGCAGCCTCGACTTGCTGGACTCCGGAGATCCTTCCACCTCAGCCTTCCAAGTAGCTGGAACTACAGGCATGTGCTACCACACCTGGCTAATTTTTTGATTTATTGTAGAGATGAGGTCTCACCAAGTTGCCCAGATGGGTCACGAATCAGATGTTTTTATGATGTTTAGTTACCTAGTTAGAAGTAGGTAATATTAATAGAAACAAGAAGAAACAGGTTGTCATTAAGAGGTAATAGTCAGGGTGCCTGAATGAAACGTAATTGTACACCTAACCCTTAACTGTACCCCACAAAATCATAATAAAAAATATTGATTAAAAAAAAAAGAGAGATAATAGTCAGCTGGGCTCAGTGGCTCAGTCCGTAATCCCGCGCCTTGGGAGGCTGAGGTGAGTGGATTTCCTGAGCCCGCGGGTTTGAGACCCGCCTGGGCAACTTTGTGAGACCTCATCTCTACAATAAATCAAAAAATTAACTGGGTGTGGTAGCGCGCACCTGTAATTCCAGCTACATGGAAGGCTGAGGCAGAAGGGTCACTGGAGCCCAGCAGGTCAAGGTTATGGTGGCCGGGAGTGTGCCACTGCATTCCAGTCTGGGCAGCAGAGTGAGACTCCGACTCAAAAAAAAAAAAAAAAAAAAAAGGTAATAGTCATCCTATTTTGAATACCAATACATAATTTAGGGCAGGGGTCTCCAATCCGGGCCACAGCTGTTACCTGTTAGGCACTTAGCTGCACAGCAGGAAGTGAGCAGCAAGAACAAGCAAAGCCTCATCTGTATTTACAGCTGCTCCCCATTGCTGACATTACCACTAATCTGAAGGGGAGCCAAGGTGGTGATGCTAGTGCTGGGGTGTGGCTACAAATACAGATTAACTTTAGTGGTGAGATTTGACCCCTCCCCCTCATTTGTGGAAAAATTGTCTTCCATGAATCTGGTCTCTGATGACAGACAGGGGTTGGGACCTCTAACTTAGAGGACATTCATGTCCAAAATTCTCTTGAATTAAGAAAAGGTTATGGGCTGGGCATGGTGGCTCAGTTTATAATCCCTGTACCTTGAGGGGCTGAGGCGAGAGGATTGCCTGAGCCCGGGGGTTCGAGACCTGCCTGGGCAACTTGGTGAGACCTCATCTCTACAATACATCACAAAAACTAGCTGGGTGTGGTGGCGTGTGTTTGTAGTTCCAGCTACCTGGATGGTTGAGGTGGAAGGATCGCCTAAGCCCAGCAGGTCGAGGCTGCAGTGGCCATGAGCGTGCCCCAGCTTGGGTGACAGGAGTGAGACTCCAACTCAAAAAAGAAAAGAAAAGGTTATAGTCAGTGAAGTCTGTAAGAAAGTGATGAAGTAACTTATGTTTTAGACAGATTTCTAAAATTTTCAATATTGTTACCATACAAATTTGGACCTTTTAAAATGGCATATTTAGTTTATTAACTTACTAAGAAGATCATATTATATATAAAACAGACTAGATAAATGAAGTATTTGTATTCATTTAACTATAAGAAAGCTTGTGAATTTAGCATTCAGTTTAGAGGTCTTAGAACTTAGTTAATACTGATAGTTTGTACATTTTGGGTTCAAGGATTCACAGGAAGTATAAAACATGCTTAACTTCAAATTATATTTTAGTTTGGAAAGTGACAAGTATATATAAATATTCTATTCTATTAGATCTTTACTCAATTTCTCCCCAATTTATTGAGTAACTGGTAGTAATAGAAATCATTAACAGGAAGAGATTTCTGACCTCTTATGTTGGTATTTTTATCCTTTCTATAGTTGCTTTTTAATTAACACAGCAGATCGGATAATCAGAGTTTATGATGGCAGAGAAATCTTAACTTGTGGAAGAGATGGAGAACCCGAACCCATGCAAAAATTGCAGGACTTGGTGAATAGGTATGTATCACCACCTAGAATATGTGGTAATTCATGACTTGGGCTCAGTCTCCAGTTCTCCTTGGTACTTTCTTTGTCTTTTAGGACCCCATGGAAGAAATGTTGTTTCTCTGGGGACGGGGAATATATAGTGGCAGGTTCCGCCCGGCAGCATGCCCTGTACATCTGGGAGAAGAGCATTGGCAACCTGGTGAAGATTCTCCATGGAACGAGAGGAGAGCTCCTCTTGGATGTAGCTGTGAGTAGAGTAGGAATGCTATTGTTGGTCACATAATCAGAAGATCGTGACTCTATTCTTATTACCTATTTTCTTTATTAACATTTAGTGGCATCCTGTTCGACCCATCATAGCATCCATTTCTAGTGGAGTGGTATCTATCTGGGCCCAAAATCAAGTAGTAAGTATTTTTCTAGTTTATTTGCTTTGAAACTAGATATCCTTTCTTTTTATCAAGGAACCTTATACATAGTAAGCTAAAAATTACCTTATTTCTTTTGCATCATTTCTTGGAACCTCATGAAATAGGTTCAGTGCATCTAGTTTTAACTTGTTTGATGAGAAGTTCTTGGTCCCAAGCTGGTTTACTAGCTTTGTTTTCAGGGAGAGAGTTTGGTATACTTTCTCTTACTTTTTTTTGTTATTTGAGATATATTTTTCTTGATTTATTGTAGAGATGAGGTCTCACTGAGTTGCCGAGGCTGGTCTCGAACCCACGGGCTCCCAAAGTGCTGGGATTACAGGCTGAGCAACCGAGCCCAGCCTGAGATGTATTTTTCTTTTGCTTTTCTTATTTTCAGTTCTGTTTTTGTTTTACATCTTGGTTTTATTTTGAACACCTTTAAACTAAATTGTAATTAGTGTACTTGTAAGAACATTTATCATTTTACCTCAAAATTCTTAAAAAGATTGACGATGGCCGGGCTCGGTGGTTCAGCCTGTAATCCCGCACCTTTGGGAGGCTGAGGTGAGTGGATTGCCTGAGCCCGCGTGTTCCAGACCCGCCTGGGCAGCGAGACCTCATCTCTACAATAAATCAAAAAATCAGCTGGGCATGGTAATGCATGCCTGTAATTCTGGATAATTGGAA